TAAACGAATTACGTTTATTTCAAAGGGTTGCAAGGACCAGCGTTTCATATATCTCGAAGGATATACCAAACTGGTTTCATTTTTATTTGGTTGTGTTGAGTGCAACAGGATTCTATGATGATTGCAGAAATAAAGTTGTTGAAAAAAATGGTCTGAGGGCCGTACATTTCAATGATTGAAACTTGAGAATGATAAACACGTTAATGCCAAAGTTAGTCCACATCAACAGCCATTTTGTTGATCAACGTGCGGTTAGTTCGTTTATGTGATTATGTTTCTCAAAACAAATGTAGAGAGTTATCATGAAATTAACAGGAGGAAATTCAGTATTGAATGTTAGATAACTTACGGGTTATTGCCGTAAGGTCAAATTACATATTTAGCCCGAGCAATTTTTGTGAATCCCGTGCTGGTCACCTGGCCTCCCTTGGTGTGCCCGAACTTCTTTGACACATCTGTCAGGATTGCAATTTGTTTCAGGGTTTACCCAGTGTGTTCATGTCGAACATAGTTTATCCACAACATCTGACGCGGAACCGTATTCAACCGACGCGAATAGCAGCGTCCTTCATGAGAATTGAGAACCGTACCTGCTACAAAGCCTCGGTATTGTAAAAATACTCGCAGCAAGGAACAGAATAGCTTTTCACAATTAGGCGAGTGCAAAAGTCACAAGCAACATTACGGTAAGTAATCCACACATTTGACCTTGAATCCGCGCTTTTGGATCGGCCACTCCTCATCGACTTTTTCGCTCGACTGATTGATTGCTTCAGCGTCCAAACATCAACCGGCTTTTCGGACCTTTCTGACGTCCTCCCTTTTGCCTTTCTGGCATCTTGGGATAACTATCGGGAATATAACCATCCTTACACCAAATTGTTTGAGCCTTCAATCCCTTTGAACGTAAGTGAAGATGGTAAGGCTTATCGAAACTATAGAGCGTGTATTCTTGGAACTTCTTGCAGCATACAGTTCCCAGTCATCGTTCCAAAATTTTTATTCCACTGTAGGTCTGTAGGCAACCAGAAGCACTACAACGGGCGGCGAAATAGACACCGAATATCTTCTGGTGTTTGACGAGTTCATGTTTTACACCAAGTCTGCTAGGAAGGCTTCAGAATACCAAAGCCGAAACTGCTAGCACTTCCTACAACCTGTTAACGGTTGCCGTGTCGCCGTTTCCCTCATGATAAAATCTCCGGCCACTTGCTGTAGGCGTCCCAACTTGTGGAAAAAAATTGTATCTTCAGGCGACCTGCAAAGTCCACATGTATCTTTGACCATGAATTTGGGGTACCACCCAAAGACGGAATTCACATTTTCTAGTACACTTTGAAGCCGGCACACAGTGTTGAGAGCATTAAACGAGTGCTTCAACTTGCCTGTATATATGTGGTCAAGCAAAATATCTTCGGATCGATCATTTTAGCCGGTTGATCCCTACATGTCCATTATGAAGCTGCTGCAAAACAAGTCTTCGCAGTTCCTCTGGTACGACCACGCGTTCTGCAAACAAAAGGCAATCATCAACAACGGAAAATTCCTATTTTATTTGATCAAATTTAACAAAGACTTTTGTTTCTAACATTTTGCGGCCATTTGGAGAGGTAGTAATATGGCCCACGTAATAGAAATCATCAGATGACCGCAATGTTGGCCAGGTTCAGTGTCTCTACTGATAAGTTTTTCCTCGAACTTGTTCTCGTCTAACCGTTCGTGAGGCTTATTTAGGCGTCTCTTTCAACTCTCGGAGAAAATAATGTTCGAATCCGAAAAAAATTAGAAGTCTGTCAATTGTGGATAGGTATTTCTGAGGTGGTCATCAGACATTTGTAGTCCATTTGATTTTCTCAAACACTTAGTTGTGTATTATTTATGACTTAGGCGTACTCGTTCAACGAGTGTAAAACTTCGGATGACAGTGTAGGCTGGAATCTCTATAAGTCGGCGAATACAACTGACATCTGTGAACACTCGTACCATGGTTTTGTTTTTAGTTCTGGAATTTCTTGCTCACGCGCGGTCATAAAACCAGAGGTGGACACAACCTAACATGGCAGAAGGGAATCAAGGATTCTATGAAAAAGTTGTGTTTGATATGTATGGTGTCCTAGGACAGTGAAGTGATGGCTGGTTTATCAGTAGTACGTGTCATTCCATTACTCGCCTGTCTCAACTTTAATGATTTCACTTGTTTTGCCTACATTGGATCCATTCCACATAGCCTCCCTTTATCATTTTAACTTACCCACGAGCGAAATGCCTTGAAAAAACGTACACTCGATCAACAGAACTTGGAGGCGAAAAAGATATCAAAAGATAGTCACGTGATGAAGTGCGGTGAGATAGTGATTCACAAACTGTCACGGAGAGATTCAGTTGAGTCACTTGAAAATGAGTGTATTTGTCGAGATGAGAGTTGCATTTCGTCACCTTAGAAATTTGACGGTCAGGTCAAATATGGCTGACTAGGTACCTCATGTTCCATAGACGAATTTCTGCAAGTCAGCCAATCCAGTTATCTAGATATGATATTCTGGCAAATGTCCACTTTTGGATAACCAATCAAAGGCGTTGGATACCTTGCGCTCTGTACCCTTCTGTGCGATGGTACCAAAATAACCCAAATCTACGTAAATAATTCACGGGTACCTAAGGGCAAGAATAGATTGACAGGCCGACTGCCACTCTCAACTTGGAACTGATCACTCAAGGAGCCAGTGAATTTGTAGCCGCTTGAAGTGAGTTTCCGTGATTGAACGATCAGTGCTGTGACGCTGCGTGCTGCCTAAGGAAACGCCAATCACACTGATGATCAATCCCTTGTGGTTGAACAGTCAGGTATTCAACTATTGTCCAGAAGGTCACCGGTTCGTCATTCCATGTTGCAGTGAGATGTGCACCGCTTCTGATTCCCAATAAAGAACAGACATGCATACGATTCTTATCGCTTTCCCAGCACGGATTGACTTCACTGAAACGGTGACATATCCAATCAAATGAGGAAGTTCTGCTCGGCGGTAAAAAGTGAAAGTGCGCAATAAAACGGGTGCAATCGATCGATATAAGCACGTCAGAGTAACAATTTGGTGCGATTCCAGATTAAAATATGTGGGAATTGACGATGTCTTTAGCGCAATATCTAGCTGAGTTAAACGATTCAATCAGAATTTCAAGCTCCATGGCCACTCACAGCGCACGACATCAGTTGTGAACGATGAATTTGTACTTCCTACCGAGTAGTTTGTGTGTCTACAAGACTTACTGTGATAAAAACAGTGATGTTATGATTTCCTTCATTTAATAGTCCTAAGATGTCGGAAAGCATGGTTTGTACATTAAATTAATTTATGCAAGTTTTAGTAGCTGACAGGCAACAAAATCCAGGGAGCTCACTGCTTCCCTAACTAGCGAGTGTTACCAAGCACCCATTCGAAATATACGCCAGCAAATCGGATACTGCGCTTCGGTCTTCACCGCATATAATTTGGCAGTGTACTATTGAATTCTCTCATGCACCTGAACGAAGGAAGTTAGATGAATATATTTGTGAATCGATGCTTATCATTGCTGTACACCAGTGTTTGAGAAACAATTTTCGGAAGAGATATTTATTGATCAATCGGATACTTCAACACGGGCACCTGGTACCTAAGTGTAGAACTACGGACGTATGGTAGACATCTTTCTCTCTGAGTGGAAGAGGAGGCTGTCCGAGTTGACAATACACTGACTAGCGTCTGTTTATTGTTTATATCAGGCGATATGAAATCTCACAGTTTCAAAGTTCCAATGATCTACTGATATACCTGAATGGTGGGGCAGTAGCAGTATGTCTTCAGCGCAGTTTTCGATATTTTCACTTCTATTAATGGCCGGTTGAACAACGCAGTAGGACATTTATCGGGTCGTCTGTCGGCACAAACACAGTGCAGAAATTCCAATATTTCCTCTGGTTTACTCTGCCCGGACTAGAGACGCATCGTCAAACTTAGCCACATCGACTTTGAATAAGTTCTCATATAGCCAGTCACAACTTCAATGGATGCTTAGATAAAATCGTCGGGACGGTGTCAGTTTGTTTGACAATCATACTGATAGGCAGTCGTTTGGAATCGTCTGTTTTCTCAGTTGTATTCTTAAAATCCTGGCAACCTGATGTTGTTGTAAGCGTGAGAACGATTCAATCAGAATTTCAAGCTCCATGGCCACTCACAGCGCACGACATCAGTTGTGAACGATGAATTTGTACTTCCTACCGAGTAGTTTGTGTGTCTACAAGACTTACTGTGATAAAAACAGTGATGTTATGATTTCCTTCATTTTGCATTCCCAAGATGTCGGAAAGCATGGTTTTAACATTAAATTAATTTGTGCATTTTTAGTAGCTGACAGTCAACAAAATCAACAGAGCTCACTGCTTCCTCAACTAGCGATTGTTACCAAGCGCCCATTCGAAATGTGCGCCAGGAAATCGGATACTGCGCTTTGGTCCGCACCGCAAATATTTTGGCAGTGCACAACTGAATGCCCTCATGAACCTCCAACCTATGGGACTACTCGTTCAAATTNCCGCAAATATTTTGGCAGTGCACAACTGAATGCCCTCATAAACCTCCAACCTATTGGACTACCTCTGTGTCCACATCAAACCTAACCCCTACATCTGACGTCCCGGCAACAGAGCAACCAGTGAGTCTGCTTGTTCTCAGATTGCTCCTTGTTTTTCAGTCCGAAATTGCCGTGTCCTCCCAATTCGAATTATCCCATCTCAACCTCAACTTTTGCTTGTTATGACTCCGGCCATTTACCCAACCGCCCAAGATCACTCATGGCTAGAAATGGTTTTGCAGTTTTAGTTCGTGTCAGCCAACTGAAGCACTGAATTACTCGGACCTCATGCCTATTGTTCCCTACAAGTTGCAATAGAAACATATTATTATTACTTAATCGAGTGCCTCCCACCGTTTGTGACATTTTCCCCATTTCGCGCGGTCAACACTACCCGCAAATCTCTCAGTAATGCCCCATTCTGACTGTAAACGCATGATCATGCCAGACGGCATGCCACCCACAAGTTGGGAATAAACATGATTATCATTATTATTATTATTAAGGACGTTAGATGAATATATTAGTTATTCAATGCTTACCATTGCTGTGCACCGGTGTTTGAGAAACCATTTTCGAAAGAGACATTTATCGATCAATCTGGCCCGTCACCATGGGCACGTGCTACCTAAGTGAGAAAATACAGACTTATGGTAGACCTATCTCTCTTCGTATGGAACAGGAGGCTGTCTGAGTTGACAAAACACCGATCAGCGTCTGCCTATTGTTCATTTCAGGCGATGGGAAGTCACCCAATTGCAAAGTCTTAAGGTCATTATGATCTACTGATGCGCCGGAATGGTGGAACAATTGCAGTATGCGTTCACCGCAGTTTTCGATATTGTTTCTTCTATATTGGAACAGTCAGTACTTATGCCGTTATTTGTTTAAAGAACCTAGTGAATACTTCACAGTTCAAAACCGTTTCAATAATTTGGGTCGCTCTAAAATCTTTTGTGTCAATCTCTTCAGCAAGAAAAACGCTTTCCATATCTCGCAGGCCCTCCTCTAAGCGAAGGCAGCTACGTATCCCACAATGGACGAACTGGTCAGAATCTCTTATTCATGTCTAGAAACGGCGTTACTACATGCGACGTACATGTATACACACACATACATACATACTTACATACATACATAATTACATGCATTCATACATACATACATACATACATACATACATACATACATACATACATACATACATACATACATACATACATACATACATACATACATACATACATACATACATACATACATACATACATACATACATACATACATACATACATACATACATACATACATACATACATACATACATACATACATACATACATACATACATACATACATACATACATACATACATACATACATACATACATACATACATACATACATACATACATACATACATACATACATACATACATACATACATACATACATACATACATACATACATACATACATACATACATACATACATACATACATACATACATACATACATACATACATACATACATACATACATACATACATACATACATACATACATACATACATACATACATACATACATACATACATACATACATACATACATACTGTTAACGGAAGTTGCTGCAAAATAGCTTTCTTCGTTCTAGCGGAATGTTGAAGATAGACGACCCTAACTTCCGGTGCACTTGTTTTCAATGTCTCGACGCCTGATGGAAGCTACAACAGAAGAAGAACACGAAGGCGCACGGCGAAAATCTCACCGTGCACTTGAGGTTCGTATTTAGTTTTCTAACACAGAAAAGCAACTCAATGCACGATATGAGGATCGTTCTAGGTTAGAATTGATTTGTTTATTGGAGAATACGTGTTGAGAACTCCGGAGAGCAGGTGAGCGGTAAATTTAATATTTTGGGGCCCCTTCATCGGGCAACCGAAAAATCGAAAGTGGTCCGTTCATTTGTGCGAGAAATATCATTACTCTCTTGAAAATCTCCCTCGACTATTCCGCTTACCTGAAACTATTTACGTCGTTTGGCTTCACTAAATGGACCACATTACAATTTCCACCGAGGAATGCAAGACTTATGCCGTAATTCCTGACTTAATAGTTACGTTCACGTTAATGTGAATACTTGAAGGTATTCATGTGAATTTTCCATCGTCGTACTCCTCTCACTATGCAACGATGCCTTCAGAGTTCCTTCAGAGTTCACAGTTGCCATCCATTATTCCGACTAAGTGGATACCGTTTTCGTAAACTATCAATGGATCATGGGTCTTCTATTAAAGAGTACCATTCAACCCATCAGAAAAATTGCCTAATTTTTAGGGCGTGATTACCTACCACATTTTTCGTCAGTAGTCTCCTCTGAAAATGATTTCACCTTCAAAAACGGACTATAGATTTATATTTATATTTTTCACCGGCTGACCCATCCGAATCCGGGTAAATGTCTCGATTATAGGAGTGATTTGCAGGTTCCGTCCTGCCTGGTCTAATGTAGTAATCAAGGTTGAGGGAGACTGGACGACTGCGCGTGCCTGTTTACCCACAAAACGTTTGAAAACCGTGGTGTTTCGTCAAAAAAATTCCAGCGACCTATTAAGTAATGTGTTAATCCTAGATATCTTCCAGATTCTGTGAGTCACAGTATCGGGTCCGCCATAATTTGTTTCAATAATTCACACTTTTTGGTCCACTCGTTCTGTTGACTCAACCCTCCAAAACTGGAGTTTACGTGACAACTTCCGCCAGATAATGGAGTAAGCTGGTCTATTTTCTGTAATGGCAAGGGAATCGATATCTGTCTATCGACCGAATGCTCTTAAGCCTGGATTACGGATTTGGAATTCGTTAGTTTTGTCAGTAAATTTTGCAGATAAGCCCGCAAGTTTTTGCTAGGTAGTTCTGCGGTAGCCGGCAGCCAGTTGTAGTACATTTGCTCCACTGAAGCACTTATCTGTATGTTCAATGAGTTAGCCAGACTGTCTGAGTAAACGTAGATCTTTGAATGACATTCGGCATTCGTTGATTTGAATGAATCATTGACGAGTCGGGATGCTTACAAGTTTTCACATTCAGACTTTGGTTGAGTTTTACGATTACCGTAGGTTCCGCGCAGGTTAAGATTACTTTCACGAATATGAGTAAGAATATGCTCATTAACTTCGCTTTAACGGGGACTNTAGGAAGTCAAGTCTCCCAGTCAGCATTGACGGAGCTCTCGTTAACGGTACACGTTGCAAAATAGCTTTCTTCTTTCTAGCGGAATGTTGAAGATAGAAGGCCCTCCCCTCGGGTGCATTTCTTCTCAGTGTCTCGACACTCGATGGAGGCCACAACAGAAGAAGTACACTTAGGTGCATGGCAAAACCTCAACGTGCACTTGAGATTCGTATTTTGTTTTCTAACACAGAAAAACAACTCAATGCGCGATTATGAAGATCGTTCTAGGTTTGATTTGATTTGTTTACTGTGGAATAGGATTCCAGGACGCCTTGGAGCATGTAAACGGTAATAAATTTAATGTTTTCGGGCCCCTTCATCAGGCGAACCAAAAATCGAACGTGGTCCGTTCTTTGTGCGAGCGTGCACTTGAGATTCGTATTTTGTTTTCTAACACAGAAAAACAACTCAATGCGCGATTATGAAGATCGTTCTAGGTTTGATTTGATTTGTTTACTGTGGAATAGGATTCCAGGACGCCTTGGAGCATGTAAACGGTAATAAATTTAATGTTTTCGGGCCCCTTCATCAGGCGAACCAAAAATCGAACGTGGTCCGTTCATTTGTGCGAGAAATCCTTTAGACTCTTGAAAATCTCCCACGACTATTCCGCATGCCTGAAATTCTCTGCGTCGTTTGGCTTCACTTAATGGACCACATTACAATTTCCATCGAGTGATGCAAGACTTATGCTGTAATTCCTAACTTCATAGTTACGTTCACGGTAATGTGAATGCTTTGAAGTTATTCATGTGAATTTTCCATCGTCATACTCCTCTCACTGTGCAATGAAGCCTTCAGAGTTCCTTCAGAGTTCAGAGTGGCCATCCACTATTCCGACTTCGTGAATGAAACCTTGTTCAATCGATGATTGATCGTTGGGCGTCCTTCTCATATTCCAGGAAAAAGAGATACCTAACAAGGTAATCAGCCATTACAAAATTCATTCGTACTTGTACTTCAAGCGATGAAATAAAAAAATCAGTACTCATTCAGCTGGAACACCGACTTGGTGCCTATTTGCTATTCCACCCAAATGAAGGACGATCACTGAGACATAGCTAAGTTTCCGTTGCCTAGTGGGAAACAGTCGAAATGCTGATGTTGGGTTCGAGATCCGGACCCTCCGGTCCGTAATGTCACGCTTCAACCGCCCAGCTCTCTCGAGCTCGCGCAAATTTTCGTTCGTGTGTTTTGACAGCTCTATGCCACGAATTTAAACGATACCCTTGACTACATTCATTCAAAAAGAATGTACAACAAATTGATGCTTTACATGTAGGTATGCAATCTGGTTCTTTGTTTTTTTTGGCTGGCACTCGCCGAGGTCTTGTGAATTAGCATCCAGGATGTCCTTTGCATATTGTTGAAAAACCGCACTGGCCAGGAACACAGAAAGAATTTCCAAGCCTGGCTTATCCTTGTTCTCTTCGTGGTCCTTGTATGGAGATATCCCTAGCTATATGCAACAAGTGCTTAATTCGAGATTGCACCACATCAGCGTTCATAAAATTATTGCCTCTTCTGCTAATGAACTAAGTTCAGTTGTGTGGGAGAAACAC